TTTAGCCAAGAAAGACAATTTTAACCAAGCCGTGCTCTAAGGCATCACCATAACCAGATTTCTTGTCAAAGCCATGGTTGAATGAGCCGCCACCCCCTGCGATACCACTAGTATCGTTAGCCCACACACCACCCCCGGTATATCCACCCCCTCCCCCTCCGTGTGCATAACCATGACCACCACCACCACCAAACCCTCCATCACCACTTGGCCGCCCACCAGCGGTACCACCTGTCCCTCCATCGACAAAACATCTAGCAGGACGTATTGACCACTTAAGACTACTACTACCGTTGCCTAGCAACCCAGCTCCACTTCCAGCCTCGGTCGTGTATCCCTTTTCATTAGAACATAGCATGCCCCCATTTCCTACCGTACTGTTACATCTGCTCCCTAATACCCCTAACTGTCCCGAATCACCATCAGATTTATCTGCAATCCCAACGCATGCACCACAGCAGCTGCTGCCGCCACCACCACCACCACCAGCAATAACAAGGGGGGTATTATTCACGTATGTTACAAAAGACCCTCCACCTCCCCCACCAGCACGGAAAAAAAGCTGTTTATGTATATGTCCACGTCTACAACCATATGTACCTATCATTCCACGCTGGCCCACAAGAATTTTCAACAAGGTCCCATGAGTAAGCCAAAATTTTCCGCTTATTTTCGCTCCCAAGCCTCCACGCTTCAATGTGCCAGTGAAGCCGTTTCCCGATATGTTCAGAAAAGTGCCGTTTGCACCAGCTGCACCGCGTGACTCGATTATGTAAGTACCTGTGTATGGTACTTGCCACATCTGGATTCCAGCATTCAACGTAACCTGGCCTTCTAGAGTCGTTCCTAGGTAACCTCTCGCGTTTGCAGGTCCCTCGTGTCCTTCTTTTCCAAGGTTGGTAAAAATATAAGCTAAAAATTTGACAATGGAAACCCAAATTAGAAAACATTCCGAGCCTCAGTCGGGGATTAGTGACTACCTCCATAAAAATATTTTAATATTATTTCAAAAACTCATTAATAATTCATGAACCAATTATCCAATCTTGAGTAAGAAATTAGTCACGTGCATACGTCTTTATACCAGCTAAAGAACACTTTAACAAAAGACCATTGTTATGCAAACCATATAAAGATTTTTATATAAAGATTAGTTTATATAAAGATTTGACTTATTATGCAAACGTTTTTGAAGCCATTTAAAAAACTCACAGGTCGCTTCGCAGGTCGTGTTTTATTAGGTCTAAAGCCATTCGCGCTGCGCGCTCGTGACTTTACTGGTAAACCTAATAAAACACTCCTGCTCGTTTTTTAAATAGTACATAAAATGGTGAAGTAGTGCATTGCTGCAGGGTCGAAAACGTAATTACTCGTGCCAGGCCTCTGGCGACGATTCTTAGAATGAGTAGCCTTTTTCCTTTCCAAGGAGTCAAATGTGCTTGTCTATAAATTTTAAAATTGTTGTTTAATTAACTTAAGAACAGCAGCAATGGTTAAAGATAATAGATAAATATAAATGCCCAGCAAATGATTTGCGTATATTTGGACGGGGAAATGGGATTTGGGTTACTGGGAATGAAGGACTCAAAAATGGGTATGAGAAAACCCAAATGCCATTATAAAGACAGTTGTAGTTGCACATTTCAAAGTTAAATAACTTTATGAACAGCTACAGAGCAATTTTTGATAGAGAATTTGTCTAAAAAAGTTCAGGAAAACTGAATTTAACCGACTTATGGCTCAATGAAGTCATTTTTCTGCTACTGTAAGTAGCAGAAAAATATATACCTTTTTCTCGGCAAAACTAGTTCTAAACTAGAGGGCACTGAATTGAACGCAGAATTGTGTTTAAAAGTCATCACATGGATGAACCACTTGCTCTGGGATTTTCGTAAATTTCTCAATGGGACTGGGATTGAGTGTTGGGCTGGCTGTAGATCTTAATTAAAGAATAGCAAAACTTACTTATCTTCTTGAGATCAGGGTCAACTGCCTAAAGAGTAAAGTTAAAAGGAAGAAAAAAATTAAATTTCCGTTTTAAAGTCACGGGTATTCACATATTTCAAACCTGCAAAACATATAAATAATAAAATTTATCCAAATTGAAAAAGGGTAGGAAAGTGGGGGAGTCATCACGAAACATCACGAAACATCACGTTATCACGAAACAGCCACTTCACGAATTTCACAAAAATAAAAAAAAACACGTTTTTAATTGTGTAAATTTTATTTTCTATCTTGAGTATTTCATGCATTTCCTAATCCTAGCTTATTTTCACGTTTTTGAAACTATAAGCTCAACATTGAAAGTCCAGTAAAATTGTTTAATAAACATCAAATAATATGTTTACTGGACAAAAATTACTGACTGGCAATCTGGCCGAATTCATATTAGAAGACGGATTTCCGTCTAAGACGGGAAACTCGTCTCAGACGAGAAACTCGTCTTGATATAAATTCGGTTAACGACGGGTTTTCCGTCTCAACTTTTCCGTCTAACTTTCCCGTCTGAACGACGGGAAAGTTAGACGAGTTTCTCGTCATAGACGGAAATCCGTTTTAAATCCGTCTTAAATTTATATCAGACGAATAAATCAAGACGGATTTCTGCTCGTAACGTTCAAAAGAGACTGGGATGGAGGGTCTCCTATTTTTTTCCGGTTTATCCGTCCAATGGTTTTCGTTTCACACTTATACAGACGGAAATCCGTCACACGAGTTTCCCGTCTTAGACGGAAATCCGTCTTCTAATATGAATTCAGCTATGAAGCACACAACAAGTCTAAAATCGTAGAAGAGGCGACGTATATTTGAGATCTTCGAGATAATGATAAATGAATATAAAATCAGAAGAAACTTTTAAGGAACATACATGGAAATTATAGTAAGGGCAGGGGGAGGTGGGGGGGGGGGGGCGC